CTCCTCTTCCCGGGCCTCCACGAGCAAGCGGCGGGCCACGCCTCGCCCAACGTGGTCAACGGGCAGATGCGCCTGGGCTTCTCGGGAGACATGTACGGGCGGCCCGAGCAGTACGGCCAGGTGACCAGCCCGCGCTCCGAGCACTACGCCTCGCCCCAGCTGCACGGCTACGGCCACATGAATATGAACATGGCAGCCCACCACGGGGCGGGGGCCTTCTTCCGCTACATGCGGCAGCCCATCAAGCAGGAGCTCATCTGCAAGTGGATCGAGCCCGAGCAGTTGGCGAACCCCAAAAAGTCCTGCAACAAAACTTTCAGCACCATGCACGAGCTGGTGACTCACGTCACGGTGGAGCACGTCGGCGGGCCCGAGCAGTCCAACCACATCTGCTTCTGGGAAGAGTGTCCCCGGGAAGGGAAGCCGTTCAAGGCCAAATATAAACTGGTCAACCACATCCGCGTCCACACGGGCGAGAAGCCTTTCCCTTGCCCTTTCCCGGGATGCGGGAAAGTCTTCGCTCGCTCGGAAAATCTCAAAATCCACAAAAGGACGCACACAGGTAGGTCCCCGAGGGAACAGGCGGAAAGGGGAGAGCGGGGAGGAGGGAGGCGTTGCTTTAAGGAAATTATTGTCCCAAACAGAAATCTCTCTTTCCTCCCCCCACAAAAAAAATAAATAAAGTGAAGGAGGGAGTTGACGGGGGAAGAACAAGAAGCGGTAGTAAATGTCGCTGCTCGTTTCTCTAAATAAACTAGCATTAAAAATGGGGGGGGTTTCAATTCGAGTTTTAAATTAATTTACACCATAGTCCAATAATATATATATATATATATATATTTTCTAAAGGGTGGACTCAGAAATTTATGGAAGGAATTAAACAAAGTACAAAAAGGGAGGTGAGGGACAAGGTTGGAGGGAAGAGATGCAGAAGACTAGGACTGTTAATTTTATTAGTTTTAATTAATTGATAGTCCAGGAGACTGTCCTTTTTACGGTAACGAATCCTGCTAAATATATGACTTATTAACCTCACCATTCCTGCCTATCATTCCCCCTCCCGTAAACATTTAATTATGTGGGCCATTTGAAAATAATCTGACTTGCCCGGGTTTTTATTTTATTATACTGAAAGGTAGGATTCGTGCTGGTTGAAACCTACTTCAAATCGCCACCTCCTTGCCTTTCATTCGTGTAGTAATTTCCCCACCCACTCTTTCGCCCTCTCAGTTTCTTTTGCAAAAAAATGCCCGCGTGTTTACCTAAGAATCCGAAGTAGGTACTATGATAATTGGAGGCATCAAATTAGAGAGGGAAAATGTTTAGAAGTGTAACAGTCACGGAGTCGCGGAAGCTTATGTGGACATTTTATATGAAATAGAAGGCGCAAGAAAATAATATTTAGCCTTAAAGTGGGAACTAACTTCGTCCTTCCCAGGGCTGCAGCTATATTATTACTATGTTTCTGTCTTCTGATAAAATGCCAGAGTTTGCTATTAGAAAGAAAGAAAGAAAGAAAGAAAGAAAGAAAGAAAGAAAGAAAGAAAGAAAGAAAAATTCACCGAGTTGTGGTTTTCTGTGTTTAGTACGTAGCAAAAATTACAGTTAGAACGCAGCTCGTAAAAATGCAGGGCCTGATTTCTACTTAGGGCCACTTTGTTTGTTTCTGAAATAGGTGAAAAACCCTTTAAGTGTGAATTCGAAGGCTGTGACAGGCGCTTCGCCAACAGCAGCGACCGCAAAAAGCATATGCATGTCCACACTTCAGACAAACCTTATCTCTGCAAAATGTGCGATAAGTCCTACACGCACCCGAGCTCCCTCCGAAAACACATGAAGGTAAATGGTCTTATGTTCTTCTTTCCTTGGGACCTCCTTGGGCCCGGCTGGCCTTCGCCTCTCCTGTGCCACTTTGATAACACGCCCCTATTTACTAGGGACTAGTAGGGTGGGAGAGAGCAAGGGAAGAGAAGGGAAGGGAAGGGAAAGAATTGCAGAAAAAGATCTCCGTGGATTTTTTTAAAAAACAGAAGTGACTCGACAGGAAAAGAGTGGGCTTGCATCTCTAGGAAAGACGGTCTGCGGGGGGAAATGTTTACCGGGGGGAAATGTTTACGTCGCTTAAAGGGGTCGAAGCGAGGGGCTGGAGTTCTGAATGTCCGAGATGCCAATTCTTTACGCTGTAAATCGACTCACAATGGGACTCCGTTTGGGAGAGCCTGGCGTTGGCGCATTGCTGCAGGGGAAGAATTTAAAAAGAAAAGGCTCGATGGGGAGTCTGGAGGGACACAGGGAGGCATAGAAACTCGGGGGTTTCTGTTTTAGCCCGCTCTCCTTTTGTGTATCCCAGGGCCGTATTTATCTTACGTGTCAGTTCCCTGAAAATAGCCGAGAGAGCAGCCCATGTCGGCCTGTAGTTCAGAAGAGCTCAACGTTTCCGCGAGATCAGCCAAGATCCTGATTAGCAAAGCAGTCTTTCAAACTTCACGCCTCCCCCTCCCCCCCACCGCTCTGCTCGGTGGCATTTTGCGTTCAGTCTTCAAACTGAGCCCGGCAGGTTAACATTTGGGGCGACTAAGCAAGGCACAGCGTATGTATGCAGGCATGCATGACAGGCATGGGCCGATCTCTACAGCTGTGTATCGTGTGTGTACACATCCGCAGACGGACGGACGGATATATCCACGTACACACACACTTCACGCATTTTCTCTTTGTTATTAATTTCTCTGTTTTCTAGGTCCACGAATCCTCCTCTCAGGGGTCCCAGCCTTCTCCCGCTGCCAGTTCGGGCTATGAATCTTCAACCCCCCCAACCATCGTGTCTCCATCCACAGAAAACCAGACCACCAGCTCCTTATCCCCTTCGTCCTCAGCAGTTCATCACACGTCCAGCCACAGCACCCTCACGTCAAATTTTAACGAATGGTACGTGTAAACAAATGAACAAACACAAATCCAACCTATTTAAAAGACTGCAAAAATGAATGAACACTTTTAAATCAGATTTTTTGTGTGTGTGTGTGTTTTGTTTGGATTTTTTAAAATGCTGCCCATAGCCCCAGGACCGAATCAAATCAAGAATTCTGTTTCCTTCCCTTTCTCTCTTCTCTCTCTCTCTGTCTCTCTCCCCCTCTCTCCAATTTCTGTTTTGCTTTGGTTTTGTCATGTTTTGGGGCAAAGCCTGGGGAAGCAGAGGGGTTTTTTATAGTGTGCGTGAGAAGAGCAGGGTTACCAGGCCATCTTGTCAACGTGCAGGGCTTTTAAATGGAACCACTGACTGGAGTTCTCCAACTGCATGGCTTTTTGGGCAGCGGGCCTTGTTGTTTTCTGTAAATACAGAAATATTAGCTTACAATGTACTGTTTGATCTTGTAAATAGTTATACCACAAGTTGAATAAGGGGATATGTGGAATTGTGGTCTTTGAATATACGTGAGGGAGGGGAACAGGGGGTGGGGCGGGGGGAACAGGGAGGAGGTTGAAAGGGGGGGGAAGGAGGGAGGAGGTAGCAAATCAACTATTTGTACTGAATGGCAAGGATGTTCTAGTAAATGTGTACCAAAATGTGAATTACTTTGTATTATTACAGTCTAAACGTCGACCTAACAGAATATTATTGGTATTAATGTGCTTTTTATTTTGTATAAAGTGCAAACATTTTGTCCCAAAGTCCAGTCTAAGTAGTGCAGTAAAATGTTGTTACACGTCCTGTCAAGAAAATTCGTATAGTGCAAGCCTGGATCTGAGTGTCAAACTGTTACATTTGTTTATGTAAAGTGATATTAAAAAAAAAAAACTCCCTATAAACTATAATCTGTCCATTGCTTTTGGTAAATACAACTACATACTGTATATATTTCCTAATTTCCATATTTATCCGCATGTAAAGGTCCGGTTATACATGTTACAGATATTCAATATTTATGGCTAGAAGAACTGGTATGTACAATTTAGTTTACAGAACTGTTTGGTAACATTTCGTACATTATTAAAGATTCTGAAATCCCATTATCTGTAGCAGGAATCCTTATTGACTCAGCCAAGCGCTGCAAGTTACGTATCTAGCTTTAGGAGAGTAAACTCCGGTCAGAACAAGGACCCTCCCCTCCCCCATTCCTTGTCGCCACTATACTCTCATTATGTCGTCACTAAAGCTGTAATGTTGAAATAAACACAATAAGTGCTCTTACCCCTGCGGGCTGTAGGGTAATATAAATTTTGTATTTATATAAAAAACATATGAAACAAAAAGTTTTGGGTGGTGATATAATTTAAATGACCAGTGCAGAAATAGAATAGTGCCAATAGCAACAGTGACAATAAAATTAAAATAGAACATCAATAGATTGTATATGGCCCATGGATTTTAATGGTGACACATTTTGCG